TCACCACAGGTTCACATACAGTGACACTCAGAGGGCCGAGCAAAAGAAGCTACCACTGCTGTGTGTGTGTGTGTGTGTGTGTGGTTGTACTGCAGTACTGCTCAGTGCTCAGGCACATGGCTCATGTACCACAGGGAGCGTGCAGACGGATGGAGGGAATAAGGAGACAGATGCATGACAGCGTCTGCATCTGTGTGAAAGTACAGAGACAACAAGCAGTGAGCACAAACTGATGCTACTCTCCAAATTTCCTTTTTAAGTTTCCACCTTCCTCCTTTGTTCCCTCACTCTAACACATTATATAACCACAGTTTAATCATCTTGGAATCACACTGTAATGATCACAGGGCAGGTGAGCAGAGAGGGATACACAGGGAGGTGCTGCTGTTCACAGGATGTTTCCCAATAAATATATTCAGTTTTCAAGTCAGCTGAGCTTTATAGTGCTTAAACGCCAAACACTGCAGTTCTCAAGGTTGAGAGGGAAATATAAAACAGTCCAACTGAAAGGTCATTGAGTAAAAATAGATCTTAGAAAGAGCAATGGATACTACTGACCTGACACTCTCACGAAGGTTACGTTAGAGGCTAGCGTCAGCAGCAGTAGCTAAGAAATGTTTTCAGAAATAGCTACAAAAGAGTATGTGTTATCATAGAATTTCCACTTTTGCAATAATTCTCAAACTCTGTGCCAATTAAAATATGTGTATATGAAAGTAAACATGAAATAAACTGGTTGAAAACACATAACCTGCAACGCCGATGTAACAATTGTTACTTCTAACAGGAGAAACCCTTCTATATAATGATGTAAATGTGATGTTCAACATTAATATTATCATGTTTTGATTATTCAAGTTTTGTGGTCACTTCATTAATTAGAATATATATCAGGCTGCATCATTAATTAGGTTTGAGAGACACGGTTTCAACTATTAATTACACACAAAATACATTTAAAAAAATGACAAGACTAATTAGTTAGGGAAAATAGTCTATGTGAGTAATGTACATGTGATTCAGATCTCTGTTTTTGGTTTTCAGGCAGTAGGACAAAGGAGGGAGTTGTGTCATCAGTAAACACAGGTAAGAAAAGCTCCATATGTTAATCCATGACACAAACTTCTCAGCACAATCCTTAGTGAGAAATACAAAAAATGTCATTAAGCAGCAGTTTGTTTACTTCCAGGATATTTTTGTGGTTTTACAAGTGTTTGCCAGCTGTCTGAAATAAGAATGTTTTCCTGAACATGTAAACATCTAAATCTGTATATGCACAGTTAATATGTGACATAGTAACGTACAAAGTGCCAAGATCACAAATGGGACCACCACGTATGTGTGTGTGTGTGTGTGTGTTCAGTTTCACTTCTAACCTTTCTCCACTCTGCCTCCCAGTGACCAACAGGACTGTGGACCAGGCCAACATCGTCGCAGACACAGCGGTTGCTGGGGCCAATGAGGTGTCGCAGGCAACCGTGGAGGGCGTGGAGAACATTGCAGCATCAACCGGGGTGATCAACCAGGTCAGTTACCATGGCAACATTGCAGCTACAGCTACTACAAGTTTGAATTATTTGAAACCAGCAGCACCTTTAGACCAGAGCAAAACAACGACATTGTTTAAAATGATAAATAACACAAAAAATAGAGACAAAACCAGTATGTTTTTTGTTCTGAGTTAGGGTTAAAGTACCTTATGTTGCACTGTATATACAAAAAATGTTTAAACACTCCTGGCCCTGTGTTGTCAAAGCTATTTTTAAGCAAATAGAATTTCTTACATCTAACAGTTGTGTCTTTCATGCATGTTGTTCTCATGTTTTTCTGGCTTGCTTCTTTTGTTATTGTGGCAGTGCATCTGTTTTGTGTGGTACTCTGTGTTGCAGTTGTTCTCACCTTTTCTTGTTTATACTGTTTGTGTCTCATCTGTTTCCCTGATAGGAGGAGCCTATATATGAGGTGCCTACTGGACAGAGTAGTGTGGGGTCATAGGTCACCCTGGGGTGGGCTGGGGTGAAGGGCAGACAGAAAGGGGATATTCTGCACATTCCTTTCACCAAGTTATTAGTTTACCTGTTCAATCCAGTCCAATAAACCCACAAACAAGTCAGATGTTTAGTGTAGAATCATCATGTTTTGAGGTGGAATTTATAGCGAGACTCTTTTATTGGACTGTATTAAATTGTGTAGGCATGTACAGTAATGAACTGGTAACTTGGTGTATATCAGCTGACAACAGACTGAGTGAATGTCATGAGGGTAAAGAAACAAGCTGCTATGATGCTTTCCAGGTGAAAATGGACAAATTGCTGCAGTATTTTGGTTCTGGATAAAAGTTTCAATTGAACACCATAGACTCTATAACGTAATATCTTAGAAGTTTTTACTGTGATTCTTGTATTCTGACCTCTAAGACTCTCACTCATTCATGTGGTTAAGACAACAATTATACTAAAATCCACCATTTCTAACCATTTAGCCCCTACTGTATGTGTAGCATTAAGTAACATACGGTCTCAGCCGCATCTCCAGTGTGTCAGATAAGTCAGTGGATATATTCATGGCTGAACGAGGCCTGTGCAGATGAAGGCTTGATTTAACCCTTACATGCAGTAAACTCTAATCAACTAACCGAGCCCCATGCTTTACGCATGATGAGAGCATGTAGCCTCATTGTTACCAATTTATTATATGACAGCTCAAAAATAAAAATGAAAGCTAGATATACAGTCTTATGCAAAAGTTTAGGCACCCCTTGATAAATAACAGATTTTGGTGATTTTTTTATTTGAACAGATGTTAACACAGTTTCTCTTGGAAATGGAAAAAATGCACAATATTTTCTGCAAACAGTGATGCATAGTTACTTCTTATGCCATAAATTGAACAAAAATAAAAAATAAAAACATTATTATGGCATGGTGCAAAAGTTTGGGCACCCTACACAATCAGTACTTAGTAACACCTCCTCTGGCAGATATCACAGCTTGCAAACGCTTTTCATAGCCAGCTAAAAGTCTTTCAATTCTTGTACTTGGGATCTTCTCCCATTCTTCCTTGCAAAAGGCTTCTAGTTCTGTAATATTCTTTGGTCGTCTTGCATGCACAGCTCTTTTAAGATCTACCCACAAATTTTCAATGATGTTTAAATCAGGGGACTGTGATGGCCATTCCAAAACCTTCAGCCTGCGTCTCTTGAGGTATTCCATAGTGGATTTCGAGGTATGTTTAGGATCATTGTCCTGTTGTAGAAGCCATCCTCTTTTCAGCTTCAGCTTTTTTACAGATGGTGTGATGTTTGCTTCCAGAATTTGCTGGTATTTAGTGGAATCCATTCTTCCCTCCACCCGTGCAATGTTTCCTGTGCCACTGGCTGCAACACAACCCCAGAGCATGATAGATCCACCCCCATGCTTAATAGTTGGCAAGGTGTTCTTTTCATGAAATGCTGCTCCTTTTTTTCTCCAAACATGCCTTTGCTGATTGTGTCCAAAGAGTTCTATTTTAACTTCATCAGTCCACAGCACTTGTTTCCAAAACGCATCGGGCTTCTGTAGATGTCCTGTTGCATACTTCAGACGTTGGATTTTATGATGGGGACGCAGATAAGGTTTTCTTCTGCTGACTCTTCCATGAAGGCCTTGTCTGTGCAAGCATCGCTGCACAGTGGAACGGTGCACCACCACTCCTGAGTCTGCTAAATCTTCCTGCAGGTTTTTTGCAGTCAAATGGGGGTTTTGATTTGTCTTTCTGACCAGCATACGAGCAGTTCTGTCCGAGAGTTTTCTTGGTCTTCCAGATCTCATCTTGACCTCCACAGTTCCCCTGATCTGCCATCTCTTAATTACATTTCTTACTGTGGAAACTGCAAGCTGACAACGCTTTGCTATCTTCTTGTAGCCTTCTCCTGCATTGTGGGCATCAATAACTTTCATTTTCAGGGTCTTACACAGCTGCTTAGAGGAACCCATGGTTGCTGGGTGTCCACAAGTGTGTGCACAAGGTTTGAAGAGTCAAGGTATTTGTACAGCTTTGAAATTGGCATTTACCAATGACAGCTGTTGCTGTGCATCAGATCTACCGAGCTGATTAAGGTCTGAAACCTTGTGAGAGACTTTGAGACTCTGGAACTCTTAGGGTGCCCAAACTTTTGCACCATGCCATAATAATGTTTTTATTTTTTATTTTTGTTCAATTTATGGCATAAGAAGTAACTATGCATCACTGTTTGCAGAAAATATTGTGCATTTTTTCCATTTCCAAGAGAAACTGTGTTAACATCTGTTCAAATAAAAAATCACCAAAATCTGTTATTTATCAAGGGGTGCCTAAACTTTTGCATAAGACTGTATGGTTGTTGGTGTATGTAGCCCTCCACCCTGCCATCACCTCATTCTTTCATACTCTCAGGAAAGTGTACTCTATGTCTGTTTTGTGTCTGATTCATTCTCACTCTTCTGGTTTCCTCCTACAGGGAGAATATGGGGGGATGCAACAGGGTGGTGAAGGAGGAGAGGTAAGAGTGCTGCTGCTGCTGCTGGGAAGAAAGCAGAGCAGATCATTTATTATCAGAGAGATCACATTATAATCACTGTTGTAACATTAATCAGAAGCGGAAAGTAACTTCATATCCTTACTGCACTTCGATGTAACTTTGTGATCCTTGTACGTTACTCTGATCTTTCGAATGCATATATAGGATATATACATTAACAGTGGTGTGAAAAAGTATTTATATATATTTATATATATATATAAAAACAATTAATGCAGCAGAATCAAAGATTTTATTTTTTATTTTTATGCATAGCCTGCCACTTCATTGCTACAGCCTTGTGTCACATTACTCCCAATGCAACTCGACCACCTACAGTTCAGGGGTAGTAGCGGTTTCTGAAACCGAACAGGGGCCCCAAGTCGAGGCCTTTTGTAAGTGGTCATAAAAAGGGTGGAAACGTCTTTAACTCCGGTAGGATGACATGTCCACTAGATGAATGCAACCAGGACTTGAAACACTTATCCAGTTGTGATAAGAAGATGCTTGATTTTATTCAGGGATGTGAGCGGGTCCTAGCGCAAACAGAAACGGGTAAGTGTTTTACTATCAAACCACGATTTGTTTTGATACGCTCCTGTTTTCATGCTAATTTCTCATTTAGTTGTGTGTCCAAGTTAACGTGTCGCACAATAATGCCTGTTTTTCACGGGGTAGCGTAGCTTGTTGGCATCTGGTTGTGTTCGCTCTGGTTATATTGACATTTGTTTTCCAAAGAAGTATCGCACATACTAATAATCGGCCCCGAAGAGGAAGTACAGCCGTGCGTAACCGTGCGTAACGCTGTCTCTCCATCATGCGCTCCAGCAAAGCTCATGCAGTACAATTCCTATTTTATTGGTTTCTGTTTGTTTATATAAACGTTTCGAAGCCCCAAGCCTTACTAAACCTAGCTTCTAGTTTTTTTTTAATTGAAAAGGGGTTGGAGTGGATGAGATTAACAATGCACTGTGTTTACAAGATTGAATTTTTAGCATGTAAAATCTCATCATGAAAAATTAACAATTACAGCTGTCAGATAAATAGTGGAGAAAACGGGGCAGTAGTTTCCTGAAGATGTAGTGGAGTCAAAGTGCAAAATAACAAACTGGAAATACACAAGCAGAGTACCTGAAAATGATGCAGTACTTGAGTGTTTGTTACTTTCCTCTTCTGCTCATGACTAGTAAACAGGACTTGGTGTCTAATATGCCTTACTCATATATCTTGTAATGACTTTTTAATTATGGAATTGTAATTTTTAATTGAAGGAATTTAAATGCTTCTCTTAGCACTGACACCATCTTTATATCTTTTCATACTTTCATTCCTTCCAGGGGTATTAGTCATCCTCAGGAACTCCCCCTCCTGTCCTCTCCAGCAGCCCCTCGCTCCCCTCATCTCGCTGTACCAGAGTCCAGATGTTCAACATATTTTTTTGTGACTTTTACGGAACCAAATTCAACTAAAAGAGACTATTCCAGATGCCACTTCAGCCTCTATTGTTTTGTCCCGTCTGATTTTCTGCAGCCTCTAGCTGATGTTTGTAGAAAATGTAATTTTTTTGGTGTGTACATACAGTTAAGCCTCTGCAGTCCACAACAGTAACCCATTGTGTGACTTAGTTCAAATGTTGAGTGGGCGTGTGAGCTGCTGTTTGTGTGTCTTTCCATGTTAGCTTATTTATGTGTGCATGTGTAGCTGCAGGCATATTAAATAAATCTCCAGAGGCTTGTGCAGGGAATCGTGCATTGAAGACAGGTGTCATTCTGTGATGTATGCTGTCATTAGTTAGCTACAATAGACTGCATGAACAGATGTGTAGAATTGTCACTTGTCGTAACTGCAGAGTAGCAGCTGTTCTGTGTCGCTTTTTTGGCTTGGTGCTTGTTTTGCCTCTGAAAGAGGATTATTACAGTGTCATTAACCAAGAAGCAATACACAGTGTGTTAGTATTAGTTTTTATACCTCCACACTGGTAATAGCCATGGCCGGAAGCATTATGTTTCCAGGTTGTTCAAAGATGTTCTCTCTAACATTAAATACCTGTGGCTATATAGCGCATATTGACTAAACTAGAATTAAATCTAAGTGGCCCTTTGTGTCAAATATAAAGAAAGTCCATCAAGGTGTTTCTGGGATGTCAAGTTCACAAGAAAGGGATGGGCAGACACCCTGAAAACCTAATTGCTTTATGGTTAGCAATACTCTTGGTTTGATTAGATTTGATTGACAGGGACATCTTCCTGCAAACAACCAGATTTGATTGCTATTTTGATCATTTAAATTCCTGATTCTCCTTTTAATATGACAAAGTCAGCCCAAGTCAGTTCCAGACCAGAGACAAATACAACTAGAACTATTGCTTTGTGTTTTATATGCCACCACTGACCAGCCAAGTTCACAGCAATGGGACAAATGTGAGGTCACAGTGACCTTTGACTGCTATTAGGTCATCTTTGTTTCAAAGTGAACACTTGTAGCACTTTTTTTTAACATATAAGCAGTTCCTGGGATATCGCATTCACTGGAATGGGACGGACAGACATAATGCATATTGCCACAGCTACTGTCAGCATGGAGGCATAAAAATGAACAGTGTTGCTCTAACTTTAGGAGAAAACATGTGTTCAGGATGACAAGCCTGTCCTTGACCCCACCTATGGGAAACGCTGACACCCACAGCTTTTTAATTATAGTGGAGATCCAAAATTTTCCAAATATGTCAGGGTATGAATTTTGGGTAAATGAACATAAAATGCTGGAGAATACATAAGATTATTTTCATTTAATGGCCATTAGAACATGCCTTGGGTTTGAGAGTTTCCCTTAGGCTATAATGTAAATGATGAGTCAGAACAAGGAGGAAATCTGAGCATCTGATATTGATCATCTCCTGTCACATAGTTGCTTTTTAGTGTTTGTGAAACTGCATGACATCAAGGAAAAGTATGCAGTCAGTCAGTTATTTGGATTTCTGTAATTGTATGATTGTTCAATGAGGGAGTCAATGCACTTAAGAGAGCAGAACGAAGGCTTTAGTTTACTCGTCAATTAGCTTTATGTGTAGTTCTGTGTACAGCTGAGATATTCTCTCTAGTCTCAACCCCCGTTGTTCAGTGTCGTGCCACCTTCCATTGCTCATCTGACCAGCATCGGTGTGTGTGCGTGTGCGTGTGTGCGTGTATGCACTGCATGTGTGTGTGTAAACCTCAGCCAGCAAAGTGTGTTTCGTGTGTGTTTGTGCCCAGAGCAGGTTTGTGTGTTTTTAACTTGTGGCCAATGGAAAATGATGACTGCATGTTGCCTTATCAAGCAATCTGACATCCACACACTCAATACAACGAGCTTGTACTAAAACACACATAGCGTACAAATTCCACCTCTAATACAAAAACACATATAACACACCATGTTTAAGTTGGCATCAAAGCAGACTCACTGATTTTATAAACGGTACCAGTGAAATTAAAAAGAGTTTGTTGAAATCAGCTACTGTGTCAAGAATTTATTTAAAACTGTGAAGCACTGCATGTTGAATGAACACATCCTGACTGAAAATACAACATTTGAACAGTTAAATGATTTGGATCTCACAGTCAAGACCACATTGGGGGGGGGGGTGCTATGTGCTGATGTGCTGCAGCTACAGTATTTAGCCATTTTCCTAGTACTTCTGTGCAGAGTGAGGTGAGCTGCTTCCTGGCTTTATGCTAAGCTAAGATAATCATCTTCTGGCTCAAGCTCGATTGCCCCCTAGTGGCTGGTTGCATTATAGTCTGTAAAGCCCACCCACTCCATGTTGGTTAATGGGAACATGAACCAATCTATAAATTCAAAATGCAAATTAAGGCATTTTTCCAAAGGTGATTTCTGTTATTTAAGTAGATGATATTGCGTGGATCTGTGTACAAGTGGTCATTTTCCTGATAAGGCTGTTTTAATAAGTCTTTTGATATAAAAAAAGGGTGTATTTTGGATGATTTGACAGCTTTCATTAGCGTCCTGATATGGTAGCACCACCTCTGGTCATTTCTGTTGCAAAATGCATCACAAGAGCAAGATGGCCACCCCTGTGTATATATAATGTTTTGCCTTTACTTTTGCACAGAGGCAGGAAGTGGTACTGTGTTGTCCACTTTTATATACAGTTTATGGTTCACCCTCAGTGGCTTTATGTGTAAACACAAGAATCTTATGTAACTCTAAGGAAGAAAGCAAATATGCATATTCCCTAAAATGTTAAACTGTTCATGTCCATTACATGAAGACACAGGTGCTGCCGTCAGGCCCTTATGATTTCAGGCTATTTTTTGGTAATTATACAAAACACCAAAAAACAAACAAAAAATAAAACAAAATCATAAAGTATCCTTGTGGCCTGTGGGGTTCCGAGAGTCTTTGCACCATTTGTTGTCCAGCCTTGCTCAAAGCTTATGTCGGGTAAGGCAGTGGATCTTCATGAAAGGTTCATTCTGACTGTAAATGCTGACTTCATCTTCACTGAGCACCCTTGAGTCATTGTCAGTAATGAATACCAAGGGCAGCCTGTTCACCCAGTTTATCTGCACATACTATGCTTTTGTCTGGATTGAACTGTAATAAAATGCAAAAATAAACACAATGTGTATCCCTGTGGTAATATTGACATATGTTTTTGTAAAACATTAACTTTTGGTCAAATTGTAAGGGAATAATTTTAATTATAGCCAAAAAGCTGTAGCATTTTAGAGTGCAGTCAGGCATTCTTCAGTCCTAAGTGTTGAATGCAAGACCTATATCTTACTAAGCTATATTTAGTGTTAGGTGGTTGTATGAAATCTCCCATGTGACAGATGCTGATTTGTTTCTGCTGCAGGGCTGTACTCTGTTATGAATAGAACAATGACTTAGATTTAAGTATGTCAGCCAGTTTCAGGAGCTAAATATTTACCATGTTTAAAGTAGGCCACATTTATTCCTGTCGTTTGTGTATTTCATATAGTACATTCTCATTTGAAAACTAGATTCTAAAATTACTGATGTGGACTTCCTATAAAGAAAATGAGCCACTTTGCAGTCATTCTATTGACTTTCCCTGTCTATTTGTGTTGTAGACTATAATGAATGTCACTTTTGTGGGTTACATTTTAAGGATTATCAACCGCCCACTCTGCTTTACTAGTTAAATTGTATCTAAAGGGCAGTAGAACCAGGACAATGCCAAAAAGTCTTTGCAACTAATAGTTTGGTATTAAAAGGGGGTTGAAAGCAAACATAATTTAAGATAACTCTTTCTATATGCTCTGCCTTGTTTTTGTTGATATAAATAATTTTCCCCACGTAAAAACAGGTCTAAACAGTCAATGTCCAGTGTGGGCCCTTAGCAGGGCCTTCCATCAAACCAAAAAAACCCTCTTTTCCTTGCTAAGCTGCATTAACCAATAGCATAAACCAGTAAACGTTCTAAATGTATGCCTATACAGCCAGTGTATAGCCTGGTGGTTAACTCCACTGGCTTTGGTACGGCAAATTGGGGTTTGATTTTCTGTCAGAGAACTAACTAACTTACCAAGATAGATTTTACTAAGATCCTCTAAATAATGTGTTCTCATGTTTTCTACATTCTTTTCATGAGAAAAAAATTGTAGAAAACATGAGAACACATATTATTTAGAGAACTCTAGCTTAGTAACTTACTTAGTCTATCTTAGTGAAAATCAAAGCCGGGGATCCTCCCCGGCCTCGTTTCTTCATCACGCCTTTCTCCTGTATATGGGCTTGCTTGGTTTCAGGAGGTACTCCACTTTTCCCCTATACTACACTGGGTGTCCACATCCAATGAATGAGGACCTCATTTGAACACCACACAGCTGGTCAAGAAGGCCCAATAACAGCTGTACTTCCTGAGGAGGCTGAGGAGGTTTGGCATGTCACCTAGGACCCTTTGCAACTTCTACAGCTGCATCACTGAGAGCATCTTGAGCAGCTGCATCACTGTCTAGTACGGCAGCACTACTGCTATGGACCACAAGCGCCTGCAGAGAGTGGTAAAGACTGCAGAGAAGATCACCAGGACTCCACTGCCCTCTCTGCAGAGCATTTACCATCGCAGGGTGCGTAGGAAAGCTGCCTCCATCCTCAAAGATCCAACCCACCCCCAGCACGGACTGTTCACCTCCCTACCCTCTGGCCGGAGGTTCAGAAGTGTGAAATGCAGGACCACTAGACTGAAAAACTCTTTCTTTCCCTCTGCCATCAGACTCCTAAACAGCTGAGGAGTTTATTACCAGGAAATACTTCAGCGTCATTAGTCCGTACCAAACTTGTCCGCCTGCCCACGTGACTCGGCCACTCATTTCCCGGAAGAAATGAGTGAAGGGAAGTAACCCCAGATAGGGCCTTGATACATGAAATCCTTATGGAGGGGGATTCCCCTTCCAAACAATAACCTCTCCTTCTCCCTCTCCCCTCCTCACCGTCTTCCATACGGCAACAAGAGTCTTCAATAAAGGTAAAGGTGATGTTAAATGTTCATTTATCCATTTCATTAGTCAATTATATTTATTTCTCTTTGTTTTCTGTATGTAAAAATAGTTATTCTCTAAAAAAAATGTATTTTTTGTTAATATTGTTGGGTGTCTGGAACGGATTAATTGGATTTACATTATTTCTTATGGGAAATATTGCTTCAGTTTTCGTACGATTCGGTTTTCGAACGGATTAATCACGAAAACCGAGGTTCCACTGTATTGCACATATTTAGGAGCACTGAGGTTTAGTGTGAATCACACTTGAATCTAATTGGACATTGGCAGTCCAATCACAGAACAGACTTGTCCAATCAGGTGGTAGCTGAGTTCTTCAAGTTAGTCTCCATTGGGCGATTCTGTAAGTTTGGGAGATTCAAGATGGACGATAGCAGGTGCTCTTTTGTTACTCAGGTGGGTTGCATTAGAAAATTGTAGAAAATCACAGTTAGCATTTCATGTGTTGCGTTTTGTATGTAGGCAGCGCACAGGTGCTTCGCTGTTACTACAGTTGTCCAAATTTATGCTTTCTATTCCAAGTGGGATACTTTATCTAGCGTTAGCCGAATGCTAATGTAGGACGTTAGCAAACCTCTGCTAGCAATAACATTTTCAAGAATAACTTTAGCCGTCCAGTACTCTTTTGCTTTGCTTGAGCCTGTCAATTGTCAGGCTAATTGTGAAACCTTCTCGTTCTGTGAGAAATCTCTTAGAGTTGACTAACTTATTCCCTGTTGGACGTGTGGTCTTGTAGATGAAAGAACTCCTCTAGTTTTACATGCCCAATTAATGTAAATGTCTTTTATATTTAATATTAATCGTGCAGCTCAATAATAATAAAAACAAACAAACAAACGGCGACCTGTTTTGACCTTACCGGGTTTTCATCAGTACGGAAACTTAAAGTGTTTGCACCTGTATGTTTCCGCCCTGATGAAGACCCGGTGAGGTTCAAACCGTTCGGTGTCTTTTTATTGAGATGCCCTGTTACAGGTAAGAGTGCTGCATTCAACGTGTTGCTTAAATAATAGTGCAAAGGCATTGGCAGGGAACTATATCTAAATTACCGAAGGTAAAAGTAGTCACTGTGCAGAATAATAATAGAATGCATTTCACGTTGTATATTAAATTTTTTTGGTGCATTATTGTGTTCATTTTAATGTTGTAGCTGATAAAGGTAGGGATAATGTTAACTGTTAAAATGTGAACTTCTGGTGAGTAGCTTGTAAATTTCTCAGAGATCACTGAAGTCTCATGATTAGGCTTATACTGTATTTCCTTTTTATTCATCCAATTCTGAAAAACTATAAACTCAAGTGATCAAATAGATCTAGTGGAGTAAAAAGGTACGGTAAGATGTGAAGCAGCAGAAACTAAAAATAAGTACAGATGCTTCAATTGCACTTATGTACAGTGCTTCTTCCAACAGAGTTTGATGCCGTTACTACATTGTGACTAGTAAGCATAGGCTAGGAAAATTAAGGAAAGGCTCAGATGTGCAAGAAATATGAACTGATTAGAGAAAACAGTCATTAAAACTCCAGTTTAGCCTCAAAGTGCATCATATACTGATAAACCTGAATAAAGAATGCAATAGCCCTTTAATGAATCTTATTTGTGTAAACTACATTTAGTAAGAGTTGACTTTTCCTGCATGTTTGATTTTTATTAAATGTGTTTGTACAGGTTTCTGTGATCAGAGTAATTGTTATAACTAGGATAGACATAGGACTAACTTCCCCTCATGTACTGTATCTTTCAATAGGCCACAGAACGCACAGACAAGAACTTGCATAGCGTAAATAACCTTGGGCTTGTCACGAGGAGGACAGACAGTGTTCCGAGCCCCAGTCACTCCTGCATTTGGACATCAGGTGAGAAACCCATTCTAAAGTTGTGGTGGTTCAAGTGAGAGAACTATCCTAGTACTGATAGGTTCAGGTCAGACTAATTTCTCAGCTTTTTTTTTCCCCAACAACTAATTTCAAAAGTGTTTGAGCAATTTTGATATAAATTGTAGTGATAATTTTCAAATTTAACACCATGTACTTGCATACAACTCTTTGTTCCAATCTGACCCATATTTTCCCCACTGACAAACGTCCTAGTTTGATATAGGGTGTTTTAGGACATCTGTGAGGTGTGCATATAAGTGCTTTCATTCTGCATTTGTATGCACCATGTTTGTACACAGGGTCAGAATGTGCAGTGTAACAGTTTCACTTAGTTTGATAATGAAGCTTTGTTCCATCTGTAATGTTTGACAATGAATGTCCATTGTTCTCAAGTGAAACACAGCAAATTGATAGGACAATGGCTCAGTTAAGAGGAAAGTATGATGCAGAAGTTAACTTGTAATGTTGAGTAAGCTGATGGTTATTTTGCCATCACAGGTTCTGATCCTCCAAATAGAAACAAGGCATCCATGAATCTGGAGTTGTTTCTTGATGCTGCAAAGAAACCTGACTTTACATCCAGGTGCAATCTTAGTTTTTGATAACTTCTGCCTTAACATTGTAAGTTTAGTTTTATTAAGGTCATAGTTCAAGGGGGTGGTGTACTGGACATTATATTTAGAGGTGTTCCTAATATTCTGACCCTCTGAATATAACATCCAGTACATCTTGAACTATGACCTCAAAAACAAGTGTTGCATTGAAGTGCATACAGATGGTCATAACGTTATGCCTTATTGAATTGACAACCATATACACTTGATTCAATTTATTCAAATATGTATAACAGTTGATAGTCAACACATGTAATTTCACACATAATCCAATATCTATACACTTGGACATCTTAATTTGCGTGTCTTTCCCCCGCAGCCTGCTTTGGATTCAAGATGATCTGGACAGAACTGGGAATACTTATTGCTGTCATCCCTCATGATGTGGAAAGCAACTTGTACTTCTTTCCACTGTACCCCCATAGTGCTGAAGTTTTGGGCCAAGATGTAGTTCCTTACTGTACTCCAAGACCTGAACACATGATATCTTGTTAAAATCAAAGATTTTAAAGTTGTAGCTTTATTGAACAATTTTCAAAAGAGGGCCCTGGCATGATTGCATGTTGAACACAGGGCCCTTAAAAAGCAGTCCCCCACATGGAGTATCCTTTTTTGTTGCATGCTGCTGAAGTCATAAGATGGAAAATCCCTACTGGTGGGCCATCAGGGTAGAGTACCTCACATTTTCTGCATGTGCCTGGACCACAGTTGTTTGGACTTCTCATTTGCATGACTAGTCTTCACAACTGTGGTACAGGCACATGCACTGCAACAGCATGGAGAAAACGTGATTTACTCTACCTTGATGACCCAGCAGTAGGGATTTCCCATCTTACCCAAGACTTCAGCAGCTGGCTGAGCTGGGATGAGGCCTGCGGAAAAAAAATAAGTTTTGACTTCAATAATAAATGATCCATTTATAAACCAACTCGCTTGCCTCTATGCATGTCCTTAAGAATGCTGCAGTGATCGTCTGGCCACAGAGTGACATCTGGTTAAGGATTGCCTAAAGGGGAAAATTGAAAAAGCCTGCATTAAACATATCTTTAAATTAATCTATCATGTTTTGATAAATTTGCTTCATTTTGAACAAAAAGGCTTTTAGTGGGCACATTTGTACCTGGGTAGTGGAGGAAAACAAAAAACCCACAAAGTACCAGGCATCATCTCACCACATGTTGAAATAGTCTGAATTACTGGTGGCACATCCCAAAGAAAAGGCCTTACTGCCGATGTCATCCTCTGCTGGGTCACTCACCATCAAGCCTATAAAAAGAAATTTGATATTTAGTTTAAATTACTGTTAATCTGCAGGTGCAAAACACCGCTTGGAAAAACGTTCCACATTTAAGCAATACTAAACTGAAATGTTAACTCACTTTGAGGAGCTAACCACAGCAATAAGAACTTAATACAACATATTTCACAATGTCCACAATTCATTTCTCAGCTGAATTGTCTGGAGGTTTGTAGTGTGAACCCACAACGCTTTGTGT